CTGGTTTTTCCCCGTGGGGCTTCTTTTTTTCATTCCTTTTTTGTTTTTGTTTGGCTGCCCCCCCCTTCCCCCCTTTTTCTTTTTTTTTTTTTTTTTCACCCTTGTGAGCACAAATTGGGAAAAAGGGATGGGGGGTTCCCCGGGCCGGACCAGGACCTCGAGCGGTTGCTTTTTGATTTGCCCAACTTCGAAAAGCAGAGGGAGGTTCCCTTCCGGGTGGATTATTTTTTTTCCCTCCCAACAATTTTCCTTTGCCAACCATTCCCCGTTTAAAAGAACACTAAGGCCTTTCTTTAAAAAAATTATGTTTCTTAAATTCCGGAAAAATTGTTCTGGGCGTTTATTCCCCTGGGGTTGTTTCTTTTTGGGAACCCCTAGTTGTGTTTTAAAAAAAAGGGGGTTTTGGGGCCCCTGGGGGGGGGATAAGGGTTCGGGGGGAAAAAAGGGGCGGGGGGTGGGTACAGGGAGGGGTAGGAGGACCAAAAGGGATATGGGTTTAAACCAAGGTGGGGAGGTTGCCAAGAAAGCTGTTGAGGGGGGGGGGGGGGGGGGTGCTGAGAGAGGTTTTGGTACTGGCGTGGGCACGTGGGCACTACTGCTGTTTTTGTCAGCTCTGAATCATATGTTGCGCTTCACCCGATCGCTGGTTCTTGCCTGCCAACTGCTCTTTTTGTGTTTATTTTGTGTTTTGGAATACTATTACCACAATGCCAATGCCAGTCGGAGCGCGAGAAGCTTCAGAAGCAGCTCAAGGATAAGACGGCGGCGCTGGCCAAGGCCAAGGAGCGGCAGAGCGAGCTGAGCGTGCTGTCGCGGGACCGGCGCATCAAGCAGGACACCATGCGGGGGCTGGAGACCGAGATCCTCAAGATGAAGAAGAACAAGGTTCGTGAAACCAAACCTGAGTGCTGTATGGCATGGGCTTATAACGTTATTGTTATGCGCTGCCAACTTCAACGTGAATCCGGCATTTTAGTACGTATGTCAGTGGAAGGAATGGTAGATAGGATCGCTGCGATGTACTTCTGGAAAGATATGTGAATGTATATCGGGTGTTCCAATATCGGCGTTTCGTTCACCGAGCAGCACGTCGAGAGGCGGAGAGGAACAAGTTGGATACCGCAAAGCATGAAAGGACTTGTGCTGTCCACGTTGTTGTTGTTGTTTCTACGAAAATATGCATCCGTGAAGGAAGGAAAAGTCAACATCACTACGACGATGCGTGATTGGTGGAAGCGGTAGCATAGGCAGCAGCGGTGCATCCATAAGAACACAAAACAGTGATGTGATTCGGTTGTGTCGGATGTGTGTAGCACCCAAAGATGGTTCATTTTCGCTGCCTTATTTATTATTATTTTTTTTTCGTCGCGGTGTAGACGACGTTTTCGGGAGGGGTTGTAGTCACTTGCTCTTTGATCTGGTGGGAAATTTTGATGCCGCAATGTCAGATGCTTGAACGCCCGCACAAGGTCGAGAAAAGAGTGCGACGCGATGAATCCTGTGTAGCTTCACCGTAAGAAGGAAGCGATCGGTGCTTTCGCGACGGGAACCTTGTCTTGCATCCAGGACTACCTCGCTTTGTCTTCCCTCGCCGTGTCCTCAATCGACCATTTTCCACGTGTTTTCTTTTTTGTTTGCGGTGTGTCCTGGGTAACGGACGGACGTTTGGCGCGGCATGGATTCTTGTATCGGTGCTTGGATTGGTCCTGGTTCAGATTGACCTGCAGCGGCGGCTAGACTCGGAGAAGAAACGGCAGCGGGAGATCGTGATGCAGAAGTCAAAGGAGATCATGTCCCTCAAGCGCAGCGCCATGAAGTGAGTCTTGATGGGTACGGGTTTTGAGAATCGCAACAGCAAAGCACCGGGTGTTTTTCGGTTCAGCTCGTCTGACCGTTACATGCTTCGTCTGCCTACTATTGGTATCTGCGGTGGTGCCCGCAGAGTACTTGGCAGCCGTGATTTGTCCACCCACCCAACCCCCTGCTAGTTATTGTCGTATTGTACGTGTTCTAGGTTTATAATTTACAATCGTTGGTGTGTTCCTGCGTGATCTCCCTCCGTCAAAGCCCTTAGTCGGCGTCTTGTGCTACCGCTGTTGCCTTCGGACCACGCCTTCCTTTATACTCGCTGTACGACTGCCGCTACTTTTGCTTCCCCCCAACCTACTGCACCCCAATTTCACCGTGATTACGGTTTAAGTCTAGCATCCAGCATCCACGACCTCTCTCTCTCTCACGCACACACGATCTCCTATCTCTCTCTGACTATTACTTGCTTGGCGTTGTCCAATCGTCCAATCAGGGATCAAGCGGAGGTGAAACGGCTGGAGCGAGCGAAGAGCAAGGCGGAGGCGGTGTCGAAGCGACACCTGGACGAGCTGGCCCTCATCCGCAGGCTCCAGAGGCAGAAGCTGGGCGTGGGGCGGAAGCAGAAGCTGACGGCGCAGGAGCGAGAGACCAAGAGGCTTCTAGACAAGAAGGTGGGCCCTAGGCTTACAGTATTTTCTGCCACTTTTGGCTTGAAATCCTGCCATTGTAGGCATAAACTTAGTCCTAGAGTTGGCCAACCGTAGGCCTAAATATCGGGTTAGGGTCATAATCATTGACAAAGCAGCAGGATTGTGGTCGGTTCTCGAGCTTGACGTAAGTGCAGCCCTCAGAGGTGTGCAAGCGGCGCATAGGATCCATCAACAGGCCAGAAAATGGGAAGGAATCTAATTTGGTGTCGTAGGCTGGGTTTGCTTTCAGGCAGAGGCGTCATGAGGTTCGGCTCTCTTCTCTTTCAAACAGCAGTCAAGTCAATGCACAAGAACTCGTGTATCTTTCGGCGCTACTGGTGCGAGAGCGTCGTGTCCACCAAGCTAGGTAGGTTACCTCTGAGGATATTTTTGGTACGCCATGGGCGATGATGGTACATAACGTTAACGTTTTGGCTCACGCGTTAGAACAGTTGAGTTTGGCTCTGCCTTCGTGCGGGCGAAGCAGAGGAAGACAGGGCAGGCATGACGAAACAGCGGGTTGCACCCGTCCCAAATTATGTGGAACCCCATGCTACACCTCTCCCAGCAGCCCCGAACGAGTTAACAACCACCGCCTTCGCTCCACGTCCCCCGTGTTTCCCCCTGAATCCGCGCCCCCCCCTCACACTTGCCATGCGACCCACACCACCGATCGGATTGGATTGGATTGGATTGGACCAGTTGAAAGAGCTGACGAGGGCAGAGGAAGCGGCGGAACGGCTGTCGGCAGAATACGAGAAGAAGCTTCTGCTGCTGCAGCAGAAAGAGAGCCTGGAGCTCGTCAAGGTTTCCATCACCAGCCGCAGGCAAGGGCAAGGGCAAGGGAGGGGAGAGGGGGGGTTCTCATGTAAACGCATGGCGTAGTCATTAGACCATGTAGACCTAACATCCGTACAATGCCGGGACGGAGCGATACGCCGGTTTTTCGCCGTCCCAGGATACGTTTCACAAGAATCAACCAGAAGCGTGCCATCATCCTTCCGTTTGCTGTGCCATGCCAGATATGCTAGGGACGAAACAGGGGGGGAGGGGGGGGTATTGTTCTGGACAAGATCCAGCATTGTGCAAGTCAGGCCGAGAGAGAGAGAGAGAGAGAACGAACTTCCTACGAGTTTTTCTCCTGTAGTGAAATCTTGTCAAAACGTATTTTCAGGGTCCTTGTGTACCTATGGTCGACCCATGTTTGGTGGATGGACTTTGTCAAGGACGTCTCCTCTCCCCCTTTGCCCTTGCACCGGCGTTGAGATTACCCCCTCCTCCGATGATCCCCCCAACCCCTGTAGCCACCAAACCGCCCCACCCCGGTGCCACATCCTCATCTCCGATCAACGCTTAAAACCTGCTGCAGGGATCAGCGCCAGCTCAGGGATCGCGATGCCCGCACCCGCGCCCGAGTCCCAGCCTTCGCCTCCAGCCGCTCCGACAACCGGCTCTCGCCACGCCCCCCGGTGCCGCGCTTTGGTGGCGGCACCAGCGCTAAGCACCAGCCGGCCCCGCCGCCGCCTCCGCCGCCGCCGCCGCAGCAGCAGCAGCAGCAGCATCACGAGGCGGGTAGGGCAGGGGACGCGTCCTCCGTGTCCCCCCCTTCTACGGAGAACGAGGAGATGACGCTGAGGGCGGCGCTGCCCGCGGAGGGAGGCCTCGATGACGAGGAGTTGGACACGCTGAGAGAGGTGGAGGAGCGTCTGGAGAGCAACAAGGTGGAGCTCGAATACAAAGACCGCAAGATTGACTCCATACAGCAGGAGGTTAACGCCTGGGCGGAGAGGCGCCGCATGAGGCGCCGGGACCCAACGGCCAGCGGCGGCGGCGCAGCCGGCAAGGAGGGTGGTCAGGGGAAGGGCCCGGAGGTAGGGGAGGCGCAGATGATCGAGGAGCTGGAGAGCGGCGTGAGCGACCTCAAGGGGGCGAAGGGGATCATCAGGGTGCTGTTCAGCAGCCTGGTGGCGTCCAGGCGCGGCCTCAAGCAGAAGACGGGGGCCGCGAAGGGTTTCCAGGTAGACTTGCAGCGTAGGTTAGCGATCAATGACGGGTGCGAGCGATGCTCTGCGTGTTTCTCGTTGTGGGTGGTCTACAAGGCGTACAATGTAGGTGGAAAAATAGTATTTAGTGGTCCCCGCCTCGTCAAGGATTTGGAAAAATACATAGCGGGCATGCTCTAGGTGTTGTGCCGATAACCTTGGAGTTGTACCGTGGTGTTTTCGAAGGCCTTTTTTTTGTGGTTTTGTGCAGGTGACATCCAGCACCGATCCCGATCCATGCCGGTTAGCTTGTTGGTTGATTTAAATTTAAAATGATGAGGCTGGTCAACACTGGACTAGGCAAGATTTTTTTTTGCGACAGGGATTTCGGGCATGGGGTTCGATGAGAGAGGAGCGCACCCGCAACACATCAGATTTCATCGCCAAGTACTCTGTTGGCGGTTTCGCTGCTGCTGGCCTGCCTCTGACAATGTATGCTTGTAGCGTAGGGACCACAAACACAACCCTAGACGCGAAACTCTTCCGTGTGCGCATGACATGACAGGAGGAACTGGACAAGCAGAAGAGGGCCCTGGAGGACACGCAGGAGCTGCGGCAGACGGAGCTGAGGAGTTACGACCGCAAGCTAACCTCCCTCACGGCCGACTATGAGAGGAAAATTAACGGCCTGATCAACCACACCGGCATGAGCGGCCTTCTCCACGCCGCCATCGAGCGCAGCGAGGGGGGCGACGGGGGCCCGGCGGCGGCAGATACCCCCCCAGGGGACGGAACCACGGGGTCCGCTGTGTCGGAGAGGCGGAGTTCCGGGCTGGAGTCTAGCGGCCGCCACGGTGGAGGGGTCGGGGATACGACGCAGGACGCGATGGCGAAGGTGTTGCATGAGAGGTGGCTGTCGGAGAGGAAGAAGGCGAGGTCGCTCGAGTCGAGGCTGAAGGAGTCCGAGGTTCGGATAGGCGACCTCGAGGAGGTGAGTCGGGAAGAGGAAGGGGCTCGTTTGCCGCGTTTGGTGCTGCAGCTTGATGCTATTTTTGTGATTTGATGCTCCGGCCATCTTGCTGCTGTTGCTGCTGCTGTTGCTGCTGCTGTTGCTGCTGGTACTGCGACATGACCGATGGCATGATGTCGAAGGTTTTGTCTGATCTGTACCCGGCGCCTCCGTATTCGATATGCGGAGCCGACCCGAGATGCTTCCTATCGTCGACATCCGTCGTGGTACATGTAGCCATGGAACTACTGCTGTACGTATACCACATGAACGGCCCGTTGTTGATTCTATGTCCAGGTTCACATCGCGAAAACACATCAGGTCTGGCCTTGTTTATTTTCACGGCACCAACAACATGATATCCCCCTTACTTTTCATGCCGTTACACAAACACGACACCACAAATCTCTCCCCCTTGCTTTTCTGCTTTCGCGGCATATACGACACGGCACACCAGGTGCGCAAGCACGAGCGCAAGGCCTTGGCCGACAAGGAGCAGGACGAGGAGTGGCTGTCTTACGAGCTCAGGGCCTACCGCGCCCGCTACAGCCAACTGAGAGACGAACGGGACCGCTTGAAGGTGAGCTCAGAAGGGAAGGACTGTTTTGCTACTACTCAGTCCTACACCATAACGGACAGAGGGCCCGCATAGCTCCCGCATTATGGGGCTGTGTATATTTCTCCCAGTAGGTAGGACCGAATGTGGCCCCCAAAACATGAATGTGCATTTTTTCTGTGTGTGTACCCTGTCAGTTTTAGCACCCTGTCTGTATGCGTACCCGTTATCGTACAACCCATCCGGCGAGGCGGAAGGGAGGACTCTTACAACCTTTTCTCCTACGGCAGTACTAGAAAAGGGGGTCCGCACGTGGGCTGCGTGAGGTGGTGCTCCGTCCCTGAGGGTAGACGAACATGATGCGATTTGACCCCGTGGAAGTTGACGCTATATTTTTATGCCGCAAGCCTACCGCCGTCACCCCCCGAACTCCTGAACCAGGTGGAGTTGGACAGGGTCCGTCGGAGCGCTAGCGGCACCGGCGTATCATCGTCGGGGGGGCACGCAGCAGCCGCAACCGCGACGGCAACGACAACGACAAGCTCGGGCTTGAACGCCAACAGCGGTAGCCATCACGCCCGACACCCTCCCCCCTCAGCAGCGCAGTTCCTTCGCAGCCACTCCGGCTCAGGCCTAGCCCCCCCGCCGCCGCCGGTTGTGACGGGGTCGTCGTCCCCCACACAGTCCAAACCGCCGTCCCCCCCTCCGAGACCAACCAGCGGGCGAGGAGTTCCAACGAGGGATTCGTACCACGGGCCCGGGTCCATTGGCGGCGGGAGCAGAGGGTCAAGTCCGTCGCGACGGCAACAGGAGGCGGCGGCGGCGGCGGCAACGGGAGGGGTAGGCTTGTCCCCTGACGCCTCCGCGAGGACGTCGGTCGGGGAGCGGGCGCCCGGGGATAGGGGACAGCACGCCGGCAGGATGTCCCCGAGTTCGGGAGGGGGGGGGGACAGGGACGTTATGTCCCCGGATAATCCCGCCTCCGACGTCGGCAGCGAGTACGACGACGTGGACTCGGTGGACGAGCATGAGTCGGAGGGGGGCGGGGACGTGAACTTTGCCGGGGTGACGAGCGACCTTCAGGTGAGGGGGGAAGGGCGTTTTATTTTACAGTGGCGGCTACGGTGTAAGAGAGGGTCGTGACAAGCCAATATTTCTCTGTTAAATCCGTTTTTCTCTTAAAACCGTGCTGTGAAATGTACGTATTTCTCATGGTCGTGACAAGCCAGTTGGACTGTCTTACATCGGTACTTTCTCTTAAATAGTCTCTCTTAAACCGTAGCCGCCACTGTATGGACGACGGTGTGCGGTTGTCGGTGGAAGAGGATGGCTGATGCACGCATTTTCATTCTCATGGCTGATAAAATCTGCACCCCTGTCGCAACAAAAGACTAAAGACCTCCTCCGTTAATCTGTTGATCCCGCAATCTCGCGATGTGCAATTCGATGCCCGCATCACTTACATGTGCCCCATTGTGTACGAACCTGCAACGACGAACATAACAGGCCATCCGTGAGGGAAGGATGCCCGAGTCGATGCAGCTTGTGGCCCGCGTTAACGCCGAAGCGGGTGGCAAGGTGTCCGTGTTCGACCGTCTGGCCTCAACCACAACGGAGAGTCGCAGGCAAAAGGTCAACGACCGGGATCAGCTGCACGAGAATCTACGGTAAGTGAGGGGCGACAAGCGCTGTTATTGCCGCAGGCAGTTCTTGGTCAAGTTCGGGCAGTCGGTTGTGGGGAGGTAGTTGCGAGAGAAAATATGCACCGAAAAATAACTTATACCACAAGCAGCCTGCGGTAGTTCGGGCTGAATGTCAATTGAAGTGTCATCTGTTTCACATGTGGAGGTACCAGCAGCTACAGCTGCCCAACAACAGGAGTGTATTGTATGGCAAGTTGCATCAACCTTTGCCTAACAGTAGCTCGCGGACGGCAGGCAACATCGCTCACCCGTATACCTCGGTCGCCTTGTTGTGTATCAACTTCTCCTTCTTATCGCAACGGAAGGCCTACCCGGTCGCCCTCGATAAATGGAGGTACAGCAGCTTCGCCAGAGCGCGTTGCGAGAGATATTGACATGCTTTTATCTGAGTTTTTCATTGCCACAGACTGCAGTGCAGGCTGGAAAGTCGACTGAATTGTCTTCTGTAGCACATGAAAAGGCCTACGGATACAACGAGGTGAAGCGAAAGGGGTCCGGACAAGAAGAGGTACATACCGAGCGGGGTTCAGCAGCAAACGACGGAAAATTAACGGATGTTGTTTAGGTTGAACCGTTTAACGCTGTGCCGAAGGAAGACCCCACGAAAAAAAAATGCCTGTGTTTCCTTGGCACCGTGCCCTTGTTGTCTCTGTACAGCAGTATACCCCTGGCTTCAAAACCTCTCCACACTAGACCTCCAACAACACGAACACGAAAACTGCTGTTGCCCTGTGGACCTTTTCCCTTCACACGACACGCTACCAAAACCTGATACAAACCAACCCCGGACGGTAGAAGAACCACTCGGCCGCCCCCATCCCTGTTTGATATCTCGGGCCGTTTTTCTTGTTTTTTTGTTGTCGTTTTTTTTTGTGTGTGCGTGTTTCTTCTCCGCCGCTGCTGCAGGCGAAAGGCGAAGCAAGACGCTTTCCGCAAGAAGAAAGACTTCAAGGTTGTTCCCGGCCACCTGCCGGGGGCGAATGGGCTACCCACGGGCACCACGGGGGGCCCGGGAGGCGGAGGAAGCTCGTCGGGACACGTGTCTGTCGCGGATGCGATCGCGTCTCTGGAGGGAGGCAGAAGCGCCACATATCCCGGTACGTATGTTTGTGTCGCGCTTTTTTGTTGTTGTTGTCCGTTGGGGCGGCGGCTGGGATTTATTGCATACGCCCTTTGGGGTGCTCGAATGCTGAGGAGTAGGGTAGAAGAAGGGGTTGGAGTGTCCAGGGTCTCTAAGTTTGGACGTGACCAACAGGTCTAACCTGGGCCTGTAGGCTGGTGCTGTGGTTGGGCGGTCGTTGTGTTGAATGCTGCTGCTGCTGCTGCTGCTGCCTGCTGCTGCTGGCGCCGTTTTTGTTGTCGTCCTGTGTGTCAATGATGTAGTAGTTGGTTGGTGACGTACACGTCGCACGAAACTGATCAAGCACGGCTCCTCCAGCCTACGTGTTGCGACACTCCAAGCGTGTATATTTACACCTTACACGCCGCCAATCACCTTTCCCACCAAACCTCTACTCCCCCCCCCCCCCCCCTCCCCCAAACACAGCGTCGTCTGAATCGAGCCGTTTACTGTCCAACTACCTCCGCGACGGCACCGGCAATGCGGCGCCGACCACGGGGCGCTGGAGCATCGAGGAAGGAGGTGGGGGAGGTGGGGGGCAGGGGGGCAGCGGCGTAGCTTCTCATAGCAACAGCGGCGGTGGCGGGGGGAGCAGCAGCAGGGGCGGGATCGACGGCAGCAGTGGGAGTGCGGCAACAGGGCCGAAGGAGCTGTCCGTCTTCGAGAGGCTTCAGGTGCGCCGGTGGTCGTTTCGTTTTCTTGAATGCCTACGGGGGTTCCGTGAGATCACCGATTTTTTTGGGGGTACTGTACATGTCGGGCACGGACAGCAGAGAGAGTGCTCCTTGTTTTTTTTTGTTTTGTTTTTCTGTCGGTACTATTCAAGAGTCGTACGTCTGAGCGAAAAGGCTTGCGCTTGTGACCACGGTGCTGGTGTTGTTTGCCCCTGGATCCGGACGGTCCGTATGCTTCAAAACAGTGTGGTGTGGTGTCATTCAACACAGCGCCCCGTGCACACAAGTAGTCGGTTATGTGCTAATTTACTTCACGATACCAAGGAGGCTCATGGTCAACGAATGCTGGGGCGAACTCCGATCGAAGTGTGGTATTGGCAGCCGAGGCGTATGTCCAGCCACACGGTGCCGTTTTCCAAACTCTTTTTATTGTCTTGTCCCCCCCCCCCCCTGGCCCCCCCCCCATCCCCCA